GCAGGATCGGCTGACAGACTCCAGCCAGATGAGATATAGCATTGTCTTACATTTGGAGGAACCCAGGGCCAACAGCACCAACATACAGTATGGTCTCACAAGGGGTCTGAGGCTTTCATCTCAGTACCTAATGGCAGTCATGCTACCTCTGGTGAGCACATGGCCCTCCAAAGGAATACCAACCCACACTATTACTAACCCGCTGCCAAACCGGTCATGCTGTAGGATGATACAGGCAGCAGATCACTTCCCACAATGTCTCCAGACTCTGTCACCTCTGTCACATGTGCTTAGTGAATCTGAATGTGAATCTGCTGTCATCTGTGAAGAGCATAGGGCACGAGTGGTGAATTTGCCAATCCCGATGTTCTCTGGTAAGTGCCAAGCATCCTGGATGGTGTTGGGCTGTGATCACAACCCCCATCTGTGAATGTCAGGCCCTCATACCATCCTCACAGAGTTGGTTTCTAACTGTTTGTGCAGACACATGCACATTTGTGGCCTGCTGGAGGTCATTTTGCAGGGCTCTGGCGGTGCTCCTCCTGTTCCTCTTTTCACAAAGACGGAGGTAGCAGTCCTGCTGCTGGGTTATTGCCCTCGTATGGCCTGCTCAACGTCTCATGGTGTACTGGTTTGTCTCCTAGCAGCAACTCCAGCCTCTGGAAACAATGCTGAAAGACACTGCAAATCTTCTTGCCGCAGCTTGCATTGATGTGCCATCACGGATGAATGAAGGTTTTTGAATTGATATTTTTTTGAGTTGTGGACTGGATATTATGCAACCTGTCAACCTGATCCATCAGAAACACCACATTTCCAAACAACCCCAGCACAGTAAGAAATTGCACCAGCACTAGTTACACACGTTTCCCCCTAGTTTCTCTCTGTGAAGCTGTGGTCTGCTCCTATCTAAACAGCCTAATAAGACATGCATCGTCATATGCCAGCAAGTGCTACAATCTCTGAAAACACACTCCTTTCAACTTGTTCCATTGGTTATGTCCTCCAGCAGTGCAAAAGCTTCCATTATACAATAATTATGCACACATTTAAACAGCCCTTTACAGATATATTTGATTGTTTACAACTTGTTTGCCTTACGTTATGAATCATCAGAAATGTGTTGTTTAGAACTTTCCTGCTTATCTTCGATTGTTTGCATCTCAGTAACAACTATTTTGCCCCTTTTACTATTCATTTGCATTTAATAATGCTCAGCCTACACACTCATGTGTTTTTAAACTTAAGAAAAACAGAGATGAACTTTAAGAAAACATCCAACTGAGGTTGTTTCTATAATTTGTTGAGTATTTTACATTATTGTATTAGGTTATTAGGTTAAATGTGATTAAAATCTCAAAAGCATTTTAAGATATTGTCTTTAATGAGTTAAAATACTGAACAGATTAGAAACACAAGGTTAGTATTTAAGTTTTTTTTATTTGTTTGCTGTGCAAACCAGACAGCACATAAATGCACAATTACACTTGCTATTTAGTTGACATGTTTGTTTAGAATACTCAACGTTTCAGTGCAACGTCAAATTCTGGGAGGAGAGTATGGAAAATATGAGTACCCGATAAGTGCATTATGATTCACTAAAGAAACAAATAATTGCTTTCATTACTTGTCTGTTTGTATTTTGCACATCCGAAAGGCAACCACTATTTGCAACAGCAGAGAGCATGTTGCAGAAATGATAACTATGTAATTATGCTGGCAGAGGAGAAAGAGAGAAAAGACCTCCTCTGTTGGTGTGAACATCTGTGAAATGTAAGAAAAAAATGACCAGGACCTTTTGCCAAGATGATTTGGAGGCTAAAACACAGCAGAACGACGTCTGGCAGCTGGAAACAACTGCAGTTTTATAAGGTCATTGTTTTAATTTATGAACATAATGCAGCTATGCTGTCATTTTTTCTAAGACAGCCAGGACCCAAACAGTTTTGTTTTCTTTGTTTTGTTTTATTTCTTTCAGACACAATATTATTTTGAGGCTATTGTTTAAAAAAAGAAATGGGAAAAGGTTGATTTGCCAAGCTGTCCAAAATAGAACCACAAAAAAAAAATACACACATAGACAGAAATCATTGGTACCCTTCTTTTAATTGAAGAGTAACCTCCAGTGGTCACAGAAACAACTTAAATCTGACAAAAATAACAATAAACAAAAAAATCTATGAAGATGAACAAATGAAAGTCAGACACGGGTTTCCAGCCATGCTTCAACAGAATGATTTTAGAAAAGTAAAGTCATCAAATAGGCCCGGAAAAAAAATTATGGTACCCTTAACTTAATATTTTATTGCAGAAAACTGTTGAGACAATTACTGCAATTAAATGATCTTTGTAACTGTCTCTGACTCTTCTGCTCCTTTCAGCTGGTATTAAATTCCTCATTAGCAAACTGGTCAACATCTTGTCTCAGGTTTAAATGGTGCATTTTCCAGATAGCATGTTTCAGCTCCTTCCAAATATCTTGGCTGTTTTTAGCTGTATGTTTTGGGTCATTATGCTGTTGCAAGATCCATGACCTGGGCCTGAGACCAAGCTTTCTGATACTGAGCAGCACATTTCTCCCTAGAACCCTTTGATAGTCTTGAGATTTCTTTGTATATTACAGAGATTCAAGATACCCTGTTCTAGATGAAGCAAAGCAGCCCCAGAGTATAAAACTGCTTCCTCCATGTTTCACACTAGAGACAATGTTCTTTTCTTGACATGTTTAATTTTTGTCTTTCAACATAGAGCTAATGTTTCTTTGCAAAAACTTACATTTTTGACTCAACTGTTGATAGGGCATCCTTCAAGAAGGCTTGTGGCTTATCAGCATGTAGTTTATAAATTAAACTACTGTCTGTTTTTTATGATTCGTTTTCAACAATGGTGTCCTTGTTTGTCTCCCATTAAGCCCTCTTTAGCTCAAACGACAGGTCTGATACTGATGTTCCCTTAGCATGATGTTCACATTTTATCTCTTCAGAAGTTTTTCTGGGCTCTTTTGTTACAATTCCTATTACAGGAATTATTTGTGAATAATATGAACTACTGTAGTCACAGGAACATTAAGCTGCATTGCGATCGTCTTATAGCTTTTACCTTTTCTATGCTTGTCTTTAATTTTCTTAATAATTCCCTGAAACAACTCTTTCCTTTACTTCCTCTGGTCCATGTTGAGTGTGGTACACACCATGTCACCAAACAGCACAGGGACTGCCTATAGCCCTCAATATAGGGATACTGACACCTATGATGCCAATTAGTGGAGACGCACCTTGATTTAAAATTTCCCTTTGGTCACATTATTTTCAGTCTTTTCCAAGGGTGCTATCATTTTTTTTCCTGGCTTGTTTAATAGTTTAAACGTTTTCTAATAATTCTGCTGAAGCATGTTTGAAAAGCAATTTCTGACTTTCATTGCCCATATTTCCATTTTTTATTTATTTTTGTCATATTCAAGTTATTTCTATGAGCTTTTGGGTATTTTCTTTCATAAACCAACAATTTCGGTACCCCCTGTTATTTTTGCCTTGATTATGAAACTCTATGATTAACTATATGGCACAATCCGAGTAATTTGATTTACAATGATTAACACACAGATTCACATCAGTTTATTGAAATTCAAAAATAATTTTTTTAATCCAAAATAATCTTTTTCAGTTTTAGCACAGCCCATCCAATTAAGGCAAAAGCACAGACCTTATACATTGGAGGATGCTGTGTCCGAGGCTTTGCTGCTGTCAAAAGCACTGCCCTACACAATGTAAACATCCTGATTATCCCTAATCTACAGGTTTGTTTGGAATAATGATATTTTTATGTCCTAAACATACAGTAATATAACGTTAAAATCACAAAGCACATGGTTAACTCAAAAGATTTATATGCATTAGTACCAAGTTTTGATTAAATCTCTTACACCTGAGTTTAATCCAGTTTAAAGCGATCATTCATTTCCATCTCATGTGGTGTTTGAGGCTTACAGGACTTGTTATGCCGTGTCATTAAAGAAAATCCAGCAATTGATTTTTTTCCCCCCTTTGTTTCAATGTTGCCACTTTTCTGCTCTGTTTCAGTCCATAGTGTTTTTTGGCCCGACCAGAGGTTACTTCATGCGGTGTTAATAAGTTGGGCACGGGCACCTCTATATGCATAATTACACTACTGAAAGATAACTCTATAGTTGTCTAATTTAACAAATGTGAGGAATATAAACTCACGTATGCCTTTAACTCATTAGTGAGAGCCTTAAAATATGAAGCTGATCAAATGGAGCATTTTAGGTATTTTTAACCCAAAGAAAAGGCACACCTATTAAAGCTCTGGACCTCGCTGGTTATTGTGGCTGAAGAAAATGTTATTTTGATACCAATTCTCTAGTACCAGGATAATTTATACCTGGTGAGACTGGGATGGACCACTCACCAGGTTGTTTGTGGATTTTTATTTATTTCATTTTTTCTGCGCTGCGCAATGAACACAGCAGACAAAATACATAAATATAGACTCTAAAGGCCTCTTTTTAAAGAAGTAATAAGAAAATGTTTTGGGCTGAATCTCTAAATGTTGTTGAGACCCTATAATTTTTTTAGATTAAAAGCACACAGTGATATAACTGAGTATGTGGGTGCCTCCAGCTGTTATTTAAGGGCAAAGTGATGACATTTATACCATTTTTTAAATTTCATCTATTTTTTATGATACAATTGTTCTCAGAATTCGATTTCCAGGAAAAGACTAAACCTGCTGACATTCTGCTGCAAATGTGACAGTTTTGCTTTAGTAGTTTACCATTCTTTTTATTAAGCTTATCATGTGTTATAATTAAGTAGCTTTACTAGCCAATAAAAGCTAGAAATCTGCAGATTACTTCTTCTTAAGACTGACACACAATGTCATATAGGGTTTTTACCATAAATGATGCTGTGCTTTCATTCAGAAGTAGACCACAGAGGCTGTTGCATTCTAACACAATTGTTGTATTGATTGTTTTACAGGTGGTTCAGGGAGTCTTGAGTATCTTGACTACTACAAACCGGTAGTGTGGTTCTGGATCTTGGTGGGCTTGGCGTACTTTGCAGCAGTGCTCAGCATGATTGGAGATTGGTTCAGAGTCATCTCCAAAAAAACTAAAGAGGAGGTATGTGCTGCTCATGTAAGAGAAAAAAAATGTCTGAAATTCCAAATCTTGCTTTCCTCTAACCCAGTTGTTCTTAATCCTGCCTCTCAGGTAACCCTGTCTTGCATGTTTAACATGTCTCCTAGCTCCCACATATCTAACTTATAGGAATGATGTATTAACAGGCTTCTGCAGCAGTTGGTGGCTTCTGAGGAAGCCATGCATGATTTGAATTAAGTGTGCTGCAACAGAGAAACATACAGGGCAAAGGTACTTGAGGAACAGGATTGAGAACCACTGCTCTATAAACAATAAAAAACGTAAATTATTTATTACCCAATTGTGTTTTGTTCAGCATCCCAGCAACTGCATCCACAGATTAGCTCACTTTATCTTATCCATTTTTCCATTTTCTCCACAGAATACATTTGTTTTGCTAATTCCTTTAAGATAAAACTTTCGTACAGTACTGTAGCTGGTTGAAAGCAAGGACATCCCTCAGATTTTCTGTTAGTATAAGTTATCCTAACCCCCAATATTTGGCCCTAAATCATCTCTTTAGGCTCACTCTGTACATGTGGTGGATGGGAGGTTAAAATACCGATTAGCAAGGAAATATACAGTCAGACAGCGGCTTTTGTAAGCAACTTTCCCTGTTATTTGTCTCAAATGGTGACATAAACAAATAATGAATATTGGTTAAATAAATGTTTGGAGAGCCATTTAATTTAGTCTTCAAATATCGTCAGGAGCTACATACAGCACTTAAAAGGAGAACTTGCTTTACCTAATGATTTTTATCCATTAAAAACTCACTTAATTTGATTGTTTATCTACCTTTTAGCTTTCTTCTCCTATTTGTATGACTCATGGCATGAACTACATTGTCTTTTAAATGCTAATAGTGATTTCCACACTATTGGTCTAGATGGCATTCGATAGATAAAAAAAGTGTTGTGCTCCAGCATGCATTTACACTAAACTCTAAACCAGATTTATATATTTTTTTTACGTATGGAGACATTTGCAGAAAGCTTAAGACCACAGTGACCCCAATGTTTTCTCCCCTCAAGCCATGAATCTAAAAGCAATGGGTTTCATCCCGCCCTCGCTCTGTGAAGTAAATACAGTCTCACTCTGGACGTCTGCTGGTGCTGAGTAATAGGATACATAGCTGTTAGGGCAGGTTCATAGCCCACATGCAAAAAAAAAAAGCCACACATACACACGTTTGCTTTACTCCTGAATCCCAAATCATGCTCATCTTATTTCTGGCATAAATATGAAGGAGTGGTGGCTGTTTGGAAGTACGCAGCGTTTCCCATTCTTTCGTATGATAAGTATAGGTCTGTAAAGCTGGGAGCTCTGCAGAGAATCAAATCATTGGGAGAGAAGGTTTTTCAGTGGGAGGTTGCTAGAAGGGAAGAGGGTCGATGATGAGCAGGCAGAAAAAACAAGTAGGCAGAAGGTGGGGTTTTTTTCTCAGTCTGCACACACATGCCATAAATTTCAATTCAAGTGTATTTTCACCGCCTTGTTGACCTCAGAGGCTCCTTAATGAATACAGGGTCTGAAAAAGGAGCTTGATGTATTATTAAGGTGAAACCTTTCAGTAATCATGGATGCCTTCTCTCTATCTAATATGAACTTTGTATATTTTATATCAATGAAACAGAAAACTGTCCCGACTTATTCAATAATGCATATTTATCTATTAAAAAAATCAAATAATCATAAACAGTAAATGATGGTTATATAAATTGTGCAAAACTTTAGTATGAAGACATTCTGGGCCTTAAGCTTATACGAACCAAAAACCAATCATACGGATTCTGATTTGCAGTGTTTGCCTCTGATGACTGCCAGTTTTCAGTTAAATGAAGCCTAGGCGGAAGTTAAACTGAGGAAACTAAATTACTTTCCCTCATCATCAGAAGCTCATCTGTCTCCGACACAAACAATCAGCATTGAACCGCACCTCCATGAAGCCCAATCAGCATCCAGAGTTCATCTTAAAAGGTCTTCAAATCCATGACTCAGCCTGCTACCCAGCCAAGAGCAAGCGATCCTTGCGCTGTGTCTGATTTTGGTCAACCCACTTCCATCTCCTCCTCCACCTTTGCAGCTAAGCTCCATCTGACTTTTCCATGGTGCTTCTCCAGCCTCGTACCGATCAGAGTGTAATTCCTCCCGGAGTTGTATTGCATTCCCCGTCACATCTCAAGCGATCTGGCAGAAGACCGCCATGTTGAGCCTGATTCTGACAGAGGTTTCTTCCCAAAGGGGAGTTTTTCTTCTCCACTGTCACTTCATGCTTGCTCATCATGGAGAGGTTCATGCAAACCTGTGTTTATCCAAGCTGGACATCTGTCTTTCTGGGTACCCTGGGTGAAGCACTAGTATCAGCTCGCAGAGTCTACTGGATCTCACCAAAACAGCTCAAGCAGATCGTCTCGCCAACCAGCAATATATCTGAACTGAACAAGCCTTATCTATCTCCACTCCACCACCAGTTTCAGGCCTGGGGGGAAACATCCCTGTTCTCATACACCTGCTTATGTATATCGAACAAAAATTCAGTGCTAATGTTTCCTGCCAAGGTCTAAAAGCAAAGTAAAAAAAAAGTAAAATAATTGTATAATTACAAATCTTCTAATTGTCTTTTTCTTTCTGCGTCATTTTTCAGATTGAACTATCCTGTTTATGAATATTAGAGTAATGTTACATAACATTCCTCATAGATTTGTTAATAATTTGAATCAAATGACATAATGCAGCAATACTGAGAGAAAAATCTGTTTATTGTGCTTAAAAACACTATAAATCCTTTTTTTTTTATCACTCTTTACATCTGCTCCCAACCGCTGTGATAGATGAACATTAACAGAGACCAACAGCGTGTGAGGTTATAAAGTTCCTCCATGCAGTTTGCTAATTGGAGCTCAAGCAAGGCATGTGGGAGAGCGCTTGAGGGAAGAGCTTTTCAACAGCTGTCTGATGAGATTAATGGATGTGCCATTCATGATCTCAGACTGAACATTTTCTTCAGCTGTGCACATTAAGGAGGTTACTAATATTAAACGTGGTCAGACTAAAAATCAGTGCAGGACTTTGGCTCTTTTAATAGATCAGGGCTGATTTAACATTTTTCAACATGATTTAAATGATGTAATACATAGGCAGCAAGACCTATGTATTACCAAGACTGCCTCATACAACAAGGCCGCGGCTTAGATCACATTGAAAGGAGCTAAATGAGTACTGACTGTTCAAGGTTCACCTTAAGAAAATAAATATTTATCTCTCACATATATTTCTCTCATAAATTGTCATATTCAATAAATTACAATACGCTCATCAATCCCGAGTTTTTGTATAATTTTTTTTTTTTTTTTTGGGGGGTCTAACGTGATATTATATAGCAAATGTCTTGCTTTCTTTAGCTGTAAAATCATTGTTACATAGCAATGATTATGTAACTGTCATGTTTGGCTTAAGGTTCCTAACCCACATGCAGAACACATTGAGGCTGGAGAAAAGTTCAAAGGTTTATTGAAATAATTCTGTACAAAGAATAAACAGATCCAGGGGTTAATCAGATCCAGGACTGGTCACGAGTGGGTTCACTGCAGAGGGGGACAGAGGAGTTAGTGGATGTCCAGGTAATTTGCAGGATGTGAGTGAGCAGGGCAGTATCTGTTCTGGAGTTTGAGCAGAGCGGCAGAGGGGGGGAACCTAGAGGGTCCAGAGGCTGTCGGCAGGCTGAGGTCTTGGCGGAGGCAGAGCTTGGTTTGAGTGTTTGCAGATCACAGATTTGAGTTTCCCTTCCAGATTCTTCAGAGAGCGGGCAGGCAGGTCTTTGACAGGAATAATTCTCCAGGGTTCTTCAGAGATCAGACAGGCAGATTTCCAACAGAGAAACTCTTCAGGGTTTCTGGTTTCAGGCGGGTTCAATCTGGGAAGCAGAAAGGAGAAAACAGATCAGGTTCAGGTTTTCAGGGAGTCAGAGATTCAGACAGGCAGGTTGGCTCAGGCTTGCTAACCGTAACTGGCAAACACTCTGGCACTGGAGAGACGTCCTCTGCCTCCTTAAATACTGATCTCCTGATGAGCAGACGAGCGACAGGTGGTGCAATCAGCTCCGGCTCCAGGAGATCTAGTACGCCCTCTGGTGGAGAAAGTGGACAGACCTCCAGATCCCAACAGTAACAATGATTATATTAATCTATATATTATGTTTCAAGTAATGAATTAAGTTAGGAAAATAAATAAACTATACGTTAAATTGTATTAACATGTCTCTGTATGCCTACATACCTGTATCTGTAGTTTGATACTAGATGTAAAATTTAATGAAAAAGTTACGGTTAACAAAGTTGACTCATTGCTGAGTTGCTTGAGCCTCTACCTAGCATGCTAGCACAATGTTGCTTTTATGATCTATGTACTGTTAACAATGTCCTTCATCATACTGAAAAAATATCAGATCTTTATAAGTTGTTTACAGGTTGCTTTATGAATTTGGTTCTAGATGGAAATCTTAACACAAGGTTTCTTTATGCCAGTAATATTCAGTTTATAGTAAGTCCTTTTTCTCTTAAAAAGCGATTATATTCCTTTGCTTGATTTGGGTATATTCCCTCTCATCATTCCGTTTCCCAAAGATTTTTCCAGGTGTATCTACAGTAAACCATGAGGAGGAGGGTATTTTGAAAAACCTAATGTTATGCCATTCTAGTGTTGATTATTCTCTTACTTGCGGCTCAATTCTGAATCTGTCCTTTGTCTCCTCAGTAATTAGCGCTTTTCCACTTATTCATGTGCAAAGACAGTTGTCCAAATGTAATCCCTGCAGCCTGCTACAATTTTAAAGAAGCTCTGCAGTGGTGGCACAACCATCGTCTACTAAACTTGTTTTCCAAAATATTTCACTATCGCAATGCTTTCCTTCCTGAAACTGAATCTTTCACATATTTATCATTAAAAAACATTGGTCTTTTAACTTAGCATATGCATAATTTTTGTTATGCAATGTGATGAGTCCTTTTTAAAGGATACTGTTGAAGTCTGGTGATATATTTACGTAAGGCCGTCCTACAGTACGTGCTCTTCCCCATTTTCACTTATAGGCGGTGACAAAGTGGTAAAATTGCTAATCTTCTTTTGGAAAGTACAGTAAGCTTGTATGAGTGATGCAAACAGTATCTTTTAAACAGAAGGTAAAAATGGGCTCATGCATGCTCTCGTACACATTTAATATGCTTCCCTCTCGGGAGTGGGTACAGGGTTTTGTATGCGCGTTATTTTTAAAAAGTGGAGAGGGCGGGTCTGTTAAAAAATTCGTGAAAATCCTCCATTATACCTTTAAATCAGGCTTGCTGATTATTTTATATCAGGCAGAATTAAGTCATCTGATCACTATAACATGGTCAAAGAAGTGGTAATTATAACATAATAGCTTTTAACACATATTCTTTATATTAAGGACCAAGGTTTGGCATTGCCTTTATGTCCACTTGATTTACAACAAAGCTGCTATCATTAACTTCTGCTGCTATTCTCAGAAAAGAAAACAAACCGTTAACCTACTTAAAAACATTTATAAACAGACTGTACTTAATATTTTAGACTTACAAAATCCTGATTTTTCTTTTTTTTTTTTTTTGGTACAACATGAAATGGTGAAAGTGAACTGTATTGGTTACTACAGTGGTAGTTGGAAGAAAACTTCATAGTGAAATTTGTATAACTCCATTTTTCCTTTGGGATAAGAAAAAAGCAGACTAGATTTTTTATTAAATGGATAAGAGGGGACACTGGCTTAGCTTTCTGAAGGACTGGTGTGGACATGTCCCCACCAACTTTGGCATGGAGGGGACAGTCCCCACATATAATTTCTCCCAATTTTTCCCCCTTTCCGCTGGTTTACTTTAGCCAACCGTAACTAGAGTCCCACTTCTCGGTGAAATATCATCGGATCTGTCGCTTTTGGACATAATATTATTTGGGGTCGCTCTTCACTGCGTACATAGTAGCTACATAGTTGGAGGAGAGACACAGCAGCACTCGGTGAATTTTAACTGGCAGCCACTTCGATATATGTTTAAGTAAAATTAAGGAGGCGGGTTGGTTAAAAAAGTTAGAGATGCGACTGAAAAATCTGCTCGTTAGACATTTATAGAGCTTTTTAAGCTAAAAATGGCAACAGAGTGTACATTTATTTAAGTTGAAAAATCTGGGCTTCTCAGAGGACCATTACTCAGAGTTACAGATTAAAATTAAAACGTATATGTTGTTTTTTTATTGAACAGAGAATCAGACTGCAGAGCTTTTAGATATCTTGTAAATTATTTTCTCCGGCATCATTATACTGGTAGACAGGTTCATAAATCTGTTTTTAAGCAGAGAACAGAGATAGAAGCGGGGAGAGCTGCAGATTTAAAGGTGAAACAGATTTACTGGGATATACAACATGCAATAAAATATATCTCCAAGTTTACAAGAGAAAATACGGTATGCTATAATAAAATTCAACATATCTTTTTGTTTTTTGTTTAGCAAGACTCAGACATAGCTGTGCCAGCCAACCCAAAGAAAGCTAGATTCACAGGAAACAGACTTAAAATTAAAATATAAGAAACCTGCAAGAATTAAAGCATAAATAATAAAAATCAGTGTATAAATGATTTTTGAAATATAAAGTTCAATATATACTCTTTGGCTGTCAATGAAATATGGAACAAATTTCTAAATTTAATTTTGCTACTTGTGAAGGAGGATAATCTCTGATGCAGCTTAAAGGGAAGCCATGCATGGATCGATTGATGGAATTGAAGTTGTGTCCATATTAGGGATGCATGATATATTGCTGTTGGCATAGGTATCGGCTGTTATTCGTAATTTTTTATACATTGATGGTTTTGAGCCCTTTATAAATACTGCACTAAAGGCAGGCATCTGTCTATAACTATAAATATCAGTGTATTGTGGTTCTCTTGTGTTCTTAACAATAGAACAGCATTCAATAAATACGTAGATGTTTGAGCTTATTTTTGGAAAATATTAACCCTATTGAAAGCGTGCGGGTTGAGCCACCACACCATCAGCCACCACCCCTAGAGCATCCCCACCAACTTTTATCACAAAATTACACCCTTGAGAGGAGATATGTCCTCAGGATTGAATCAACTTGCATTAAAGCAGAAAAGTAATGGACATAAGTCTTCATTTTGTCTCTGCAGGTCGGGGAGTTTCGTGCCCACGCAGCTGAGTGGACGGCAAATGTATCAGCAGAGTTCAAAGAGACCCGCAGACGGCTCAGCGTGGACATCTATGATAGATTCCAGCGGGCTGCATCCATCAAGCGCAAGCTGTCATCTGAGCTGGGAGTCAACGCCTCTATGAACCAGGAGATGACCCCTGGTAAAAGGACGCTTTCAGCCAACCTGTGCGAGGACAGAGAGACATACCCTTCCTTGAAGCTCTCTCTGAGTCCCGTCCCAGGGGCTCTCACCAGGAACGGCAGCCTGTATCTGAACGGCCTTAGTCCTGAATGCGCCGATCGGCAGGAGATCGCCATCATTGAAAATTTCAAATGAAGAGCAATTTAAAAATGAGTTTCTCTACACTGGGGTTTACAACTGTGAGTTTGATGCCAAATTCTGTTGAGGTACCTGAATGAAGCAGATTGAGATTTAAACACCTAAGCACAAATCAGTCTTCAACCTGTCTACATATACCACACCCACTTAACCATGTCTAGCTGTTGCACGGATAAAAAAGAAAATAGATTGGATTAAATCTATATAAAAAGTCAGACGTTTTTGAAGCTGTTTGCAACTGAGCCAAAAGAAATACAGTCCTTCTTGGAGCATGTTAGTTTTTTTTTTTCCACATTATTCCCAGAGGAACTACAAATATTAACGAGCAATATAGCGATTTGCTATTACACTGTAATAACAACTCCAGAACTGGATCACACTGAGGATACTAATTCTTCAAAACACCAAATTATCCGTGGTGGATCTTTCCTGTGGGTCTTCACGTGCTGAAATCCTGGAGGGAATGTTCCTTTTGTCATCTCTCATCTGTTGATATATCTGCCTTGCATTTGCCACTTAATCAAGCCTTTACTAAAAAGACGAATGTTGACATTTTAGTGTCTCCATAATCTATTCAGCCTAAAGAAATAATCCTCTAGTGCCTTAACAAAAACAACATTGGACATGTGAAGCCAATGAAAGACTTTGCTTTCTTCGTCTACTCATCTGTGTTCAATTTGATCGCAGAGGAAATACAGACAGTTTTGGAAATATGGACATCTAAAGATTTTTTTTAAGTATCCTGTAAATGTTTTTGAATGAAAGTTGAGATCATAATATTTAAAAAAAAATGAACACATCGCCCTGATACTCTGAAATAGTTGCATTCTGTCATCATTGAGTTCCACTCATCAAAATCCAACCTTTCCCTAAACCAAAGGACCATCTGCTTAGTCTTTGGTAAAAACATCAGCAGAACGATGTGTTTGGTTTGTCTTAAATTTTCTCCTGCAAGATTTTCTAAGGAATCATCAAGTTTAAGCTACAGAAATAAGACACACAGCTTTGTTTGTTATTACTTTTTTAGCTGTCATTATTTTCCAGAGAAACAATGCATATGCAGTGCTTTGCAAAAGCGTAATAACACCTTTATAATAGAACACCCTATTTAAATTTCTTTACAACTCATGCATTTGGATTGAGCCTACAGAAGTCAATATATTCCCAAACCACCCTTTACACTTGGTTTGGAAGTGATTGACCATTAAACATGGATTATGAGACCCATATAATGGTTTCAGGCTGTGCCTCTACCTTTTTGTACGTTTCTTATAGTTGATCATATGCAGCTTTTTGTTAAAAACAGCTACTAAAATTGCGTCTACAACGGAAGTTTTATGTACAACTGACCTATTTTATACTTCTTATCTAATTTATTTACAATGTACCTATTTTCTTTAGTCCCCTTTTAAAGCTTTACTTCAAATTAGTTCCCCATTTCCGTTATACACATTGAATGTGCTTAAGATTACATTTTCTTGTTTGTTTGAGATGAGAAACGTGTGGATCACATTTTATACAATATATACATAACTACTATAATAATGTTTAGATGACATACATATAAATCAATTAATTTATTAAAAAAGAAATAATAGCCTTAGGGATAGAGTTAGGATTGATACTGTGATAACCTACTGAGCCGACTGGGAGGTTGGAGGCAGAATCTGAAGCCACTCTATGGGACTGATAACGACTAATCACAGCACTTCAATGGGCAGATAACATCGGAAACTGCTGCCTTTGCTGCAGTGGCAGCTGTTATTCACATTAGGTCTGTGCCTATCAGCTTTTCACATGTGGAAAGATTTTTTTTGTAGACCATCCTTTTTGTGGAAGATCTTAGTCTTTTTTAGATTTTTATTAAAAATATTTTGTTTTGAGCCAATACTCCGGTAAGATGCATCCACACTGAACATAAACAATAAAAATGGACGTTTCTATTTACATGCTACCCCTATGTAATGGCCAATCAGGGGCAAATTAAACGTCAGTGATGTGAAGGATGATGTTTGAACGCCAGTAAATGGCACGAGCTGGATGAGTAGAGAGAGGTGGATGGGCAAATACGCTGAAGCAACATCAACAGTCTGAAATGTTTTGTCACATTAACCATTCAGGGACTGAATCTGTGAGGCAGGGTGAAGAAGTGCAAAGGAGATGTTGAGTTTAGCAGAGAATTGGAACCAGCAAGTGGATAGAGGCTCCTTCTATTTGATGACACATTGAAGTGATCTGGGTGAAATTCCACCACCTTGTTTACAAGAGACATCATTCTCTCTCTCTCCAGAGAGATATTGGTTGCTGGTAAAGCAAACAACAGTTGGCCCACATTGCAGTAATATGGCAGTGTTTTGTGTTCAGTGTGAATGCATCCTTAGATTTAGTACGTCTTGGCCCTTCTCTGTTCCAAAAACGTGTATTGCAGCTCTGTTTCTGTGCTTAGAGATACTCGAAGGTGAACCTTTAATTCAGTCTCAAGTCTTTTGCAACTTTTAACATTTTCTTTTTCCAGACTTGGCCCGTAGTGACACTCTCCTTAAAAACATTTTTATTTTATTTCAGTCATGCTTTGCTTTGCTATTCCTGTTTTAAAGCATGATTTGCAAAATACACAAAAAACTGTTTTCTTGTCATATTCTCCCACCTGAGCCATGAACTTGTGCAACTCCTCTCATTACCCTGGGTCTCTCATCCTCTTGTCTCATAAATTATCTCCTTGGTTGCATTTTGTTAGATATATACTCAGGGTTACTGCAGTAAAGGGACTGAATATCAATGCCTATGAAAATATAGAATCTTGTGGTTGGAATTTGATAAAATGTGCAAAAGTTTAAGGGGTGTGAGTACTCTTGCAAGGCACTGCTTTTTATTGTAACACTGAAGTCTGGGAACTTTTGTTGCATGCTGCGTCATTTGATTGAATTTGCCTGGAAACATTTCTTCTGTTCAAATAGATGGAATATTTCATTTTGTGATTGTAATGAATGTACACCACATGAAACCATTCATTTAGCCTTTGGCATGTTAAAACAGCGAATCAGTAACCAGGAATCTAATGGCAAATGAGGTGCAGCACTTGGATGACCTGAATAAATGACGCCTCACTATGACTTATTCTAATATGTCTTACAGACCCCCCTCTGTGCTCACTGCTTCAAAACATTCTTATTCTTCATAACGTTTATCTAATGTCCCTCAGTGATGTTCTACAAACTTAGACTCTGTCTGCAAATGCATAACAAATGTCTTCACTTGTTAAGGTCCCAATTGGGTCTATGAAAAGTAATATGATATATTAAAGACAGATTAGGGACTGCTATATTTTGCTATTTTTTTTATTTTCTATCTTATAGTATGTATCAGTGAAGTTTGTCACATGTTGAGGACACAACAGACAGCAGGATAAAGAGATGCAAATGATAAAGTTAAGGTTTTAATTAGGGATGTCCTGATCTGATATTAATATTGGTTATCAGTCCGATATTACCCAGACAAATAATCTCTGAGTTTCTTGACGGACATCTAAAAAACATCTAAAACTTTTGTTCCTTATTTTAGTCATATCTCTTGATCAAGCCTTTTCTAACATTCTACAGTATAAAATAAATAATGGCAGGTGTGATTTGTGCTAAAGTCGAATTGTATCAGTATCGGCAAATTCTCAAATCTGCAATATCGGAATGAAAAAGTTTTATCGGGACACTGTGCTTTTAAAGGAAAAATCAATGAAAATTACTGTAAACAAAGTGTTATAGAAACAAGAATAAAGACAACAGTAGAAACCAGCGGAGGATAAGATTAACTGACACTTAAATGTTTGGGATTTTGATGGCTGAAGGCATAATGTATGTAGAATTAATAAAATGAGAAAATGGCTGATATGGAGAAAACCAGGAAAGACTACAAACTACAGAGTGTAACTTAAAGTAATTTATTAAGATTAAAGCCAAAGGGACTAAGGAATTCACAAGATCAACAGCAAACATAATTCAACAATAATAAAATCATGAAAAGGATTGCAGAATAAAACATGAACTGAGATCAACAGAGAATAACATTAACTAAAGTCTGTAATTTCCAGCTGTACAAAACAAAAAACTAAAGTCTTAAAACATGGCAATGAAATGAATAGGGAAGCAAAGAGAGTTTACCAAAGTAAATCTAATGTATAAAAGTATCAGTTGAAAAACAGTATCTTCGAAAGATCTAAATGTGATTAAAAACGCCGGGTAAATTCAGAAAGATGGAGCCGCTGAACACATTAGAGGTCATTCAAACATGTTCAGTATTCCTGATAGAGATTTGTTTCCAGTGGCCTGAACCAATGCCAAGCTATGATACATAAGTAGGGATCATGCAAAAAATATACAAAATATATTAAAAAATTTTTTACCAGTTAGCATTTCTTTCCAAATATTTCAGAATTTCCAATTAAATTATTGAAATTATACATAATCCAATAAAAATGTATAAAAATTATACATTTTTACTGGACTTGTGCATATAGGTTAACCCAAAGTATATTTTTCATGAGAAAAATTATGTTTTATGATGGTTTCAGAAAAACAAAAAAAAATAGACCAGCTGTTCCTATAAATCTCAGGAGTGCAGCCGTCTAACCTATTGTCAACATGAGTGACATCGTCCAAAAAGGCAGATGTTTTGGCAGGTTGCTTGTCTGAAGCATATTAATGTATTTTGACACAATCCTAAATGGGAAATTCATTAGCAATGACCACAGCACAGCAATTTGTATTGTACATCAATGAATGAGATTTTTATACTATTTAAAGGCCACTTTTACAAAAGAGAGAATGATCCTTCACAAGGTGGAAGCATTTAAGAGCTGCCAATCTTTCCACTCGCTGTCAGAACACACAAACCACACAGACAATGCAAAAAAAGGATGACTTACAGCTTTATTATAGACTGTAAAAACCTCTGTGAGCACATTAAATGCAGAATTTTATGACAGTACAATTAAACAGCCAAACATAAGATGACGGCTTCGAAGTATTGCTGCAAAAGGTGGCTCTGCATGTAGAAAAATCGTGGCGTGACCAAAATATTTCCCATGACAGTGTTCTACTTTAAGTTGTATTTTAAAGAAGAAAACTGATCTATCACCCCATAATGCATCATGTCAACCTATATACCTATCACTGAGCTGCAAAATGGAAAACATTAACTATTTGATTTAATCAGTTTGTGTTTAAAAGACGATTCACTTTTTCCTTTTGTCGTATGGTTTTATGAAGGTTTTGGTTTGCTACACTTGTGGTAGAAAAAATTTAAATCACTTCTATGTAAAACTTTTTAAGAAGTTATTAAGTGGATTTTTTGTCAATAGTATAAAGATATAATCTTAAACTAATGACATTTCTCATGTAAATGTACCGCTATAATACCAGGTAAAGACCAGCGTATAATAATAATAATAATAATATGCATCCATTTAAATTAACTTTTAATCAAAACTTGCATTATTTACCAATGGAAGGTTTCAATCCAGTAAATAGGCTAAACTTATGGAAATACATCTGTTTTACAGCCTGTTTTAAGTCAAAGGTTTGCTCCTTTTTTTCTTGGTTGTCGTTCGCGAGTGCTCTGGCTTATGCAGAGTGGAACATGAGTCCTCTAAGGCAGGAACTGTCATATTTTGTCATATTAAAAAAGCAACTAAAGCCCTATACAGAATCAGCAAGAACAGAGAAATTTCTTCTTCTCTCTCTCTTCTTTTCTCTTTTCTTGCAGCCTAATCTTGACATGTCATCTGAGTAGATCTTTTTTCTTCTGTGTTATCACTCAAGTACTTTATACAAATTATTATACACAAACATTCCTGTAAAGTGTTAAATATTGTGACCAGAAAGAACTTCTTTTCTTGTTCTTGCTACCTCAATTTACAGTGAAAATTTCTCTGTTGTTGCACCCATTGTATTGGCTTTGAATATATTAGTTTTTTTTTACAAAGTATTTCATAGCCTCCATATATTTATAACATAGAATTGCAGTACACTAAGGAATAGAAAGTGTTTTGTCTCAGAGCAATCCACTCTAATCTTGGCATTGGTTCAGTATTTATAGCCTCCTCATCAAAAAGTTATCATGCTGCTTTTTGCTCATCAGCTTCTGGAATTGACAAGCTAAGGCAAAAA